CGTATCTCGAAAAACTCGTTAGTCGGGACACTCGTAAGTCAAGGCCCCACTGTACAAGGATTGTGCTGGGGGAAAAGCTTTCAAAGCCCAGCAGGCTAGCAGTGTACATCGTGGTTGCCTTTTGAGACTGGCTGTGGAGGTTAATTAGAGGACTTTGCAGCAGCAAACAGAAAAGGTCTATTGGCGGGGAGCGGTTAGAGCCAGCACTTGGCATCGGGTGCCCTCCTGGATGTGGAAATCCCAAGACTGGCCACCCAGCATAGCAACTCGTTACTGTACATGCATCATGGAGAAATGTTTCAAAGTATGTTCATTTTCACAGGTGCAAAATCAGCAAGCAAAAGAAGAGTCCCTTGCTGACGATCTCTTTAGGTAGGTTGAATTTAAGCTTTCTCATGAATCTTAGATCTATATAAAATTCAGTTCTGTTCATAGAGATTAAGTATTTCCCTTCTGTCCTTAGAAATAGAGGCTTCACCTAAAGAATGTTTTGTTTTTAACATGTATTTCTTTTTACGACATGAGCACCTTAGTTTGGTTACTGGATATAGCTTCGAAGTTTGGGGTTCACTCAGTCGTACTGTACCCCTGGATATTTAAAATATGTGGGGGGGCACTCAGGTCACAGAAGGCTCCTGAGCTGGGCTTGTAAATTTGTGAGATTCTCAACTGGGTAGAGAGATGAATAAATAGGTTTTGAATCAAGGTAAGTAAAATACCAGACCATTAGTTGAATTTTAATTGGCACAAGTATAAAAACAAGAGGCTGGATTAGAATTTCAAAGTAGGTTCTTGTGAGAGATTTAGCAGAGTTATAAGGGACGATTATAATTTAATTCTGATTTAACATATATTCAGCATCTTACAGGCCCAACAAACCTTATAATTCACTTTCAAATACTCATAAAATACTATATTGTATGTAGATACTTGTTAGTGGAGAATAACATTTTCCCAAACTTATTTAAAGGCAAATGAAGAAGGTAATCTATTTTTGAGTCTGTTTTACAGCTGATTTTTTAAATTTCATTATTGACAATGAGTCATTTGTCAACATGGTGACAGTGTTCATTTCTCATAAGTAGTCAAAGAAGCCAGCCTGCTGCCCAGCTGCCCCTAATTACTAGGGTAGAAAATGCTGTGAAGTAATTTTACTTTAGGCTCACTATTGCTCTTTTGTGCAAATAGTATATTTTAATTAGGGGTGGGGAGGAACTGTTTGAAGCTATGCTAGAAGAAGTATAAACACATTTATTTTTAAACTGTTGTTTCTGTTAATTATTTAAATGCTTTTATAGATTATTTGTTGTTGCCGATGCTTTATTTTTTACCAAACATTAATGAAAGCAACATCAAAGTGATCAATGAAAGTAAAAATGTCAGTGCTTAATATATGATGCTAAGGATAAAACTGGCATTCTCATGCTGTTTGGTAACGTGTGATTATATTTTGAAAACCCTTTAAAAGTGAAAGAAATGTCATTATTTATCTAAATATTATTTAACCCATTTCTTTCTTTGCAGATACAATCCTAACGTAAAAAGAAGATAGATAACTGAGGTTGTTATAAAGAAGCCATGGAAAAACATTTCTTGCCCACATACTTCCTGTTTCCTCTGGATTCAGGGGTTTAAGTTACAAATGCTCTGTGACCTGAATTTGTTAAATAAAATGCACAAAACTCCATTTCTCTTGTGTGACAAGTAGTCTGGTTTGTTTACTGAGCTGGGTGTCCCTCTGCGTTAAGTCAGTTTTTGTAAAGTACAAATGGTAAGAGATGAGTGTCTCACCTCTTACAGGAATTTCTTCCATTTTTCAATTTATTTTTTATTTTTTATTGAGTTTATAGTCACAGTTCATAATTCTAAAAAGATAAAAAGGGTAAGGAATACAAAGACTCCCTTCCACGGAACATTGTCCCAGCTATTGGTTCCTCAGAAAAAAAATCTACAATACTCATTTCTTAGGTCTTTCCAGAGATTTTAATGCCTATTCAAATTTCTGTGCATATTATCTTTCAATACTTTCCTACAAAACAATAGCATAACAAGTCCAGTGTCCTGCACCTTACTGTTCCCCACTGCACAGACTGGAAGGCCGTGGGTATATCGGAACGATGGTTTTCTTTTCCATTATGCAGGAGTCGCTCCTGAGCCGATGCCGGAAAGATGACCGCAGGTGAGGATGTCACCACATAGTCTAGTCCGGGAGACGGGAGACTGCCTCAGGCTCGTGGATTAACCTCACAGGAGGGAGAGACCTGTTTGTGGTCTTACTGAACTGGGTGTCCCTCTGCTTTGAGATAGTTTTTGTGAAGTACAAATGGTAAGACTGTCTTCTTTCTACTTTAAAGGGACATGGTAAGAAAAAAAAAATGGATGTCTTTGCTTTCAAGTTTTGTAATGTAAGAACTTAGCCACACACTAGAATTATGGTACAGTCCTTCCATCCATCTGAGGGTCAGTGCGCATGTCCCAGGAAGCAGAACAGGGTCTTGATGCTCACTGAAAGCTTCCTGGGTCACATCCGTTCTGACACCTCACAAGCCTGCATCGCAGGTGTTAGAGCACAGCCTGGAAAACGACCCAGAAATTAATTTGTGCCATTGCTGGTCTTCATGGAAGATGGGTAAGAGCAAACTTTTGAGTCAAGGGGATGTTAACAATTCTTAGCCTTGCCTAGAAACCATCTTTATAACAAAGTCATTTCAATTTAGCAGTGACATTAAGAAAAACATCCAGTTCATTCAGTGCTCAAAAGAACAGGCCAGCAAGAGTGTTCAACCCAGTGTTCTCAGGATAGTGCACACTTTCCAGTAGAGGTAACTTTCATATGAAAAGTTACCGTTATAATGAACTAAAGCTGCATCTCATCATTTCTAAAATCATTAAACTTAAATCAGACATGATAGTTATCAAAAGTATAAGAATTCACCAGTTTATCTGAAACAGCTAATTGTAGAGGCAAGTATATTCTAAATAGATTTTAAGGTGAATTATGATCCTGTGAGCATACAACATTGCCAAAAGATGGACAGAAAAATACTAACACTTTAGTCCATTTTCTAATATTAAGAAAAAATAGAATTAGGTATTCAATAAACACATCTACCAAAAAAGAGAGAAAGACTAGAGAAAGACTGAGAAATTGTTTGCTATGGAGAATGTCAGAGGACTTTTTCGTCTAACACTAAAATTCTGGGGATGTGTATGGAAATACAGACATTAAGCACATCTAAATACATAAATAAGTGAAGATAAAGCATTCAGTTCAGTAAGTAACCTTAGAAATTTGTCATCTGTAAACAAATTTCAAAGTGATCTTGGGAATGGAAGACAAGTTATAACCTTATTTTCAACTTTAGTCTTTAATAATTATGGCAGTACCCAAATGGTATAACAATATTAGAAGAACTTAAACAGAAATTAAGCCAGTGTTCACACAGGAATAAGTTTCATTCAAAATTTACTGAATTGCAAATTATTATGTTAGTTAAGTAGAGAAATCTCCAAAAAAATATCTTGGCAAATTCCTGGATGTCTAAGTGTATGCCAACATTATTGAACTGTTTAAAGTATTAGCAGCGAAGAATGTGAAGTATGTCAAGTTTTCAATAATAAAAATATTTTTAAAAGATCAGCTTATTTGATAATAAATTAGATCTATACAATTGTTAATTTCAAAGTAAAGAAAACCTGAGTTGTAAATGCCGCCTATCCCCACCCTACTTCATATCCCATGTTGTTTGAGACTCTGTGTCTCAACCTTTAACAAGCAAACACATTCCTTGAGGGTATCCTGAGATGCAGTTTCTGATGCACTAAGTCTGTGGTGGGGTCCAAGCGTCTGCGCTTCTAACAAGCTACAGACAGAGCTGAGGCTGGGCTTTGGACCACCTCTGAGCAGCAACACGACCCAATATACAGTGAGGACAATTTCTAGCCTAAGGGCAGTTTGGTTTTATAGATTCAGGCTGTTTTGGAATCAATCATAACCAAAACTGATCACAAAAAGTACTTCGTGGAAGAAAAGAGTGTTTTAGTTAAGTGAGAGCTTAATGTATACCAAATTGGCATGTCTGTCTGACAGTGGCACCTCTGGTATATTACCGCAGTGATTTTTCAACCAGTGTGCTGTCAGAATTTTTAAAATATGCATTACCTATTTAGTCAGGGGCACTGGCCTCTTTTCCTTTAGACTGTCAAATTTAAAAATGATAACAGTCAACACAGTAGCTGTTCAGTGTGAATGTCCTGTCTTGAACCATAAATATATAGGTCAGATAATAGAGTTGCATCTTATCAGTCATGTTGCATAATAAGGTTGAGTCTGATTGGTTAATTCTTGGTACCAGAAATCCTTACATGCAAGTATAGGTGCCTGATTTTTAAAGCCACTGTGGAGCCTTGGCCAGTGCTGCTCAGTTGTTTAGTGTGTCCAGTGCACCAGAAGGTTGCAGGTTTGATCCTTGGTCAGGGCGCATGCAGGAGGCCACCTGTCTGTTTCTCTCCCCTCCTCCATTTCTCAAAAAAAAAGTCACTGGAGCAAAAAACGTAGGTAATTACTATTTGTTTTTATAAATCAAAATTATACTTATTTCTCCCCTGCTGGCATGGCTCAGTGGTTGAGTGTGGACCTATGAACCAGGAGGTCACAGTTCAATTCCCATTCAGGGCACATGCCCAGGTTGTGGGCTCAATCCCTGGTGTGAGGCATGAAGGAGACAGCTGGTTGATTCTCATCATTGATGTTTCTATCTCTCCTGCTCCCTTCCTCTCTGAAATCAATCTTTTAAAAAGATATTAAAAAATATATCTACCTATGTTTTTGTCAGATCAGCAAAAAATCCATTTTTTGGTGTGCTACAGAATTTTAGTAATTAGTTTATGTGTGCCATGAAATAAAGTTACACCAAGTTCTTGTAACTTCAAAAAAATAGTTACTATTGCCTCAGACTCTCCAGTGAATTCAAGCCAGAAATTCAAGCCAGTACACGGCAAAAAGTTAAAAATCTTTAATGGTGAACTATTCATATAAATTACTTGTAAACCTGCTTCAAGCTACCCCATCCCCTCCTCCTCTTTCAACAAATAAGTGCTTTTTCTTCTGTCTTGTTGCTAAACAGTGTGTAACACCCAGTGCCCCTCCCTTTAAAAATCGAACAAAATTATCTCCAACTAAAGGACCCAATGCAAAAAGGTGGGCTTCTTGAACACACTCGTAGGTGTATGGATCTATCGCCACAGGATTACCCTTACAAGTGATCGGGTGGCCTGAGTCATGGCCCAGGTAACAGCCGTGCTCTTTCAGAAAAGACAGATTGGGATGAGAACCTATCAGCACCACTGCTGCAGAAAGTTTAAATATTTTCTTCAATCCAGAGACACTCTGAAGGATGCACTTCATGTCCGACTTAAAGGAAAGCACATGGTGCTCAGGAAAGCTGGTGTAATCAGATAAAAGATCCAAGTCTGCAGAATATGACTGCGTACACATCATGTGATAGACCTTATGGTATTCCGGATACAGCTTTTTAGGAAGCTGCTTGAAAATTAAACTTGGATCAGTTACTCGTCTGCGAAATACATGAATCACAGGGATGTTGTTGTTGTAAGCACACAGCACTGCATCAGCTGCAGTGAGCCCAGAACCTACAATTAACACTGGGTCCACTTGGCCACGCAACTTTCCTTTGCTTACAGCCGCTCCAAATTCAGGCAGTGAATGAAACACAAAAGGAAAATCTTCCCCTTCAACCTCCAGACGGGCAGGAGAGTCCAATGTTCCCGTTGCCAGAACTACATTCTCAGCAAAGAGACCGAAGGGAACATGGGAGCCATCTGCTACTCGCTGATAGCCCCGGATCTCCCAGTTTCTCTTGATAAACTTGGACTTCTCCATCTGCGAATGCTGTGCCGGGATAGCTGCATCCTGACCACCATCCTCCTCCCGGTCTCTGTAGAGTCTGGACACAGAGGTAATGTAAGTGTTCTCTCTGAAGTTCTTCTGAAGACCCATGACTTTCACATAATGTTTATAGTAGCGAGCTACTTCTTCTGGCATAACGCGATCCCCTTTTGGGTTCCTGGGGAAGGAGAAGGAGAACATCCTATGAGAACAGGTCTTTGGTTCTGTGATTACTTTTTCATCAGGAAGCTGTTACTGTTTCAGCTATACATGACCCTAACCCAGGGGTGGGCAAACTTTTTGACTCGAGGGCCACAATGGGTTCTTAAACTGGACCGGAGGGCCGGAACAAAAGCATGGATGGAGTGTTTGTGTGAACTAATATAAATTCAAAGTAAACATCATTACATAAAAGGGTACGGTCTTTTTTTTTTTTAGTTTTATTCATTTCAAATGGGCCGGATCCGGCGGGCCGTAGTTTGCCCACGGCTGCCCTAACCCCTTACAAAGAAAGCAAGCTTTTAGTTAAAAAGAGGAAGCCTCCTGAGGGTAGAGACTAGGTAATGCATCCTGCTCCTCCATTGTATCTTTTCAGATTAGCTGCCTAAAATGTGGATATGTGATCATTAGACTCCTTTACAGTCTATGTTACAATTGTAATCTAAATTCAGTTTATAGCTCTACTATTTAGTCTTTGTTCTGTACTCTAAGTCAGCAATTTTCAACTGGTGTGACCCCCAAATTTTTAAAATATGCAATTCCTGACTATTTGATCAGGGCACTGACCTCTTACCTTAGGTTGTCAAATAAAAATTAAAAAATGACAGCACCCAACACAACAATAGCCAGTTGATGTGAATGAATCAAAATTATACCCTTTTTTCAGATCAGCAAAACATATTTTTGGTGTGCCATAGAATTTTGGTAATTAGTTTATGTGTGTCATGAGATAAAAAGGGTTGAAAGTCACTGCTGTAAGTACAGACTAACTTATTTAATTACAATTGTTGAGATAGTACAGGTCTAACTGTAATACATAGATATACTTGTTAAAGATAATATATACCACTCTGACACAATTTTTAGTAAGGTGCTTTCTATTTTCCTAATGACCAAAAATAAGATCAGTCTTCTATAAATAAAATTAGCTTACATCTAAGTAAATAATAGGACATTTCTGTGGTTTTTTACTCAGAAAGATATATAAATATTTTAATGAAAAAGTACATTAGTACATCTTTCATTTTCCACTTGAAGTCTAAAGCAATGGGAATTAGCACCCCTAAAAACTGTGCCCCAATTAGAGATAAATAGCAGGAAAAACGAACCAAATCACTTCACATAATTCATTATAACTTGTTTTTGGAAAAAGTTAATAGAAAGTTTTCTTCTTAAAGTTTAATGATTATAATATTTAAGATTTAAAGCGTATTAACCTTTGATATTTACAGAAACCCTATGTAGTAGTAGTTACTATTATCTCCATTTTACAAGCTAGGAAATTGGCAGCTAATTTGTGTGACCAGGGTTACATCAGAAGTTAGAAAGTCAATCTAGAGAGACAATCTCTAGAGATTTAAGAGTCTTCCTTCTTTTAACACGATGCAAAGGCAGGAACTAAAGGTGATAGTAATTCTGTACTCAATAATCCCCACTTCAAGACAAGCACTCTGGTATAGAGTCATGAAGCTCCTTTCTTACCCACATCACAAAGCGAACAATGTTGAGCAGTTTTATTTACTGACTTATGAAAATCAGGAACTTGTACAACTTGCCTGATTTTGCAACTTTACATGTCAAATCCATATACAATTCTTTTTTAAAAACCCAAAAGGAATATCTGATAAGTTTAATTTCAATTACACATGCTGGTCTAAATTTGCTCTCCTTACATCTTGTCAAAAGGAGGATAATTTCTGTGGATTAACATGGATTCTATGAAGCAGGAAGTCAAGCATTCAAATGGTACAGCCCTGTTCTAACAAAAGTTCAGTAACTTCCTGCTTTCATTTACAGGAATGAAATGTTTTTGTGAGCAATCAAACTATATAGATTCTCTGCATTAGTAATTCCTATTTAATATTACTATCCTTGAAAACAATAGGGCTTTTCAATTTATCTTTTTAAATTTTAGGTTCTTTCCCCCAAAATACACTTGTATTCTTCCAAGTTGAGATTTCTTCTCAGTTACTCAGTTAATATTTCCTACTAAAAATTTACCTCTATATCTAAGTAGCCAATCACACCATCGATTCTAGTTTATTCCATCACTCTAAACGATTAATCATATGCACTCCTCTAGTTTGAACGTCAAACACTTTAGGTATGTACACATGAACTATGCGTACATGAATTTATATATCCACTCATAAAATAAGTGACTGAGTATGGAAAGGATATGTGGGAAGATGAGAAAGGAAACCGTGGTTTAACAGGATAGGATAAACCCATGCTCAGCAGAGCAGTCGGAACCCAGCCTATAGACAAGCCCCTCCTGACCTCCAGGGAGGGGAACAGCTCAGAATCCCTGCTACAGAGGCTTCTGACAAGAGACACAGACATCTGTATTATTCATCTAATACAGGTCACAGGTGCCTTGAAATTTGCCGACACTCTTCCCATTGCAACCAAAGAATGGTAATAGTAAGATCTTTACCTTCGTTTGCTAGTTACCCAGTCTTTAAATTTAAGTCCAGGGAGCTCCATCCAATTTCCAAAGCTGATTGTCAACATGGAGCCTTCCATATTCTATTTGGATAAAAAATGTGCAATCAAAAAACACGTTTAGATAACACGGGGTTTTTGTGTGTGTGTTTTTTTAACCAAACCCATCTATAAACTTTAGAGCTCAAAGGAGTCCTAAATGGTTATATAAATTACCTCTCAAAGTTTATTCCAATAAACTTTCAAATAATACTTTCATCATTTGGTAGTATCTATCTATATACTTCTTTCATATAGTTATACATTTACAGAACAAATTTACAATATTACCTGGTACCTACACAATGTTAATAGTTTTGGCCTATAATCAACATGATAATTCAGATGTAGATATTTTAGTGGAACAAATGGATATTTTCACCTTTTAAACAAAAGGAAAAGAGTTAATTTCCAACTATTATTTTTTAAAATGTTTTTATTAATTTCAGAGAGAGGAAGGGAGAGGGAGAGAGACAGAAGATGGAAACATCAATGATGAGAGAATCTTTGATTGGCTACCTCCTACATGCCCCCTTACTGGGGATCGAACCTGCAACCTGGGCATGTGTCCACTGGGAATCGGACCGTGACTTCTGGTTCATGGGTTGACACTCAACCACTGAGCTATGCCAGCCTGGCAATTTCCACACGTTAGAGGTCTTTTTATTTTAATATTAATAATTTTTTTAATGGGCAGCACAACAGCCTCCCCCCATCAATTGTAATTATGAAGTCTAAGCTGGTTCGGCTATAGCAGCTCTCTGACATCCCCTGAGAGGTCCCGGATTGTGAGAAGGCTCAGGCCAGGCCGAGGGACCCCACCAGTGCACGATCAGGACTGGGGAGGGATGTGGGAGGTTGTCCAGCAGGGGAGGGACTGTGGGAAGGCTCCAGGGCGTGTCCGGCCTGTCTCGCTCAGTCCCGATCAGCCAGACCTCAGCAACAAGCTAACATACCAGTCAGAGTGTCTGCCCCCTGGTGGTCAGTTCACGTTATAGCGACTGGTCGACCGGTCAATTGTCTGCCCCCCTGGTGGTCAGTACACCATAGCGAGAGGTTGAGCAGCCTTAGCATATCATTAGCATATTACGCTTTGATTGGTTGAACAGACGACCAGATACTTAGCATATTAGGTTTTTATTATATAGGAGGATCCAACTGAAGTCTGTACTTAAAATTTGATATGTTAAAATTTTCATAAAGTCTGTACTTCATAACATAGCAAATTTATTTAATATTTATACAACAAATGAGCATTCTCTACACACTAGATACTATACTGGCTGCTAAGGACAGAGTAAACAATAATTATTAGTTGCTGCCTCTAATGAAATGCACTGACCTTTAATGTTATCAGTTCTCTGGCTAAGCTTCTGCTATGGACTAAACTGTGCCACCTCCAAATTCCATGGGAAGCTCTAATACCCAATGTGAAGATATTTGCAGGTGAGGAGGTGGGGCCTTTCAGAGGTCATTAGGCCTAAGATGAGATCACGGGGAGTGGAGGGGGGGGCTCATGTCAGGATTAATGGCTTTATAGGAGGAAGACACATCATGCTGTCACCACCATGTGAGGCCACAGCAAGAAAGCAGCTGTCTGCAAACCAGGAAACTGAGTACACTGGCACCTTGATCCTGGTCATCGCAGCTTCCAAACTGTGAGAAATAGTGTCTGTTTTTTAAGCCACCTGGTCTATGGTAGTTTGTTATAGCACCACAAGCAAGCTAATACAAGTTTATTCTTTTACATTTTTCACTTAAGATCCTGAAGATATAAAGAAATAATGGATATTGGTATGAAATAGTGTGTGAAATTCTGTAAATTCTAAAATAAATAAGTAAAAGTACTTTGACTATGAAATGTTAAAATATTTTCTATATAAATCTTATAAAATGACTAGAGGTCCAGTGCATGAAATTCATGCACTCGGGGGGCGGGGGGGGGGGGTTTCTCAGGCCGGCCTGCGACCTCTCAAGAGTCCAGGAGCCCTCGGGGGATGTCCGACTGCTGTGGAGGTGGGAGAGGCTCCTGCCACCACTACTTTGCTTGCCAGTTGTGAGCCCGGCTTCTAGCTGAGTGGCGCTTCCCCTGTGGGAGCGCACTGACCACCAGAGGGCAGTCCTGCCTTGAGTGTCTGCCCCGTGGTGGTCAGTGCACATCATAATGACCGTTCGATTTGCATATTAGCTTTTTATAATACAGGATATAGAAAAAGTGCTTAGTCTAAGACTATAAGTAATAAAATTTGGCTTAACTTCTAGTAATTACCCACATCGAATTAAATAGGATTAAAACTCCAAATAAAAATTCAGTTAATATATATAACATTATATCATAATGTTTAAGAATCAAAATTGTCTTATTAATAAGATCTATAAAATAGCTCATACTGAAATGCTAAGAAAATTGTATACTCACATGCCAAGCTCCACCAGGTGGGCCTTTACCAAGAACTAAGTGAGGGATATAATGATGTTGTTCTAATTTCCAATGCAAAACAGATGGATAGTCATACCCAAAGTCAGCATCTGGATGAAGGAGTGTGTCAAATAGTACTGCAACTGGATTGGATGATCGGCCTTCAAGGCCCTCGGACAAGTATTCTAAGTCCTGAATGAATTTAAAAAAAAAAGGGGGGGGGGGGAGCAGATAGAGTTTGAAAAAAGAAAAACACAAACCACTGCTATCATAACAAAAGTGAAGGCCATTACTCTAACCCAGCATTTCCCAGAGAGTGGGCTGCACAACACTGGTGTCCTTTGAGATCTTAACAGATTCTTTGGTCAAATATGGGAAAGGTTGGGTCTCAACAAATCTAATCTAATCCTTTTACTGCAAAACTTGAAGATGACTTTAACATGCTAATATGCCTTAATATGTCTACAGTGACACTGCAGTCATAAAAGGCAGCCCTTTCCAAACTCATTTGAGCATACAACACCTATTAAAACTGTATCAGGAAATCATTTGGGAAATTCTATTTTTATCAAATCAGGAAAATAAAAGCAAGCAGAATGTATTTACAAATCTAAGATTAAAATGATAGAAAGTGTTATTAGAAGAAAGGATTTTCAATTAAACACAATGCTTATATAAGCTGAACTAATCTTCTTTCAGTATAAAAAAATTAAAAGGACTGAAATAATACCTGATCAACAAGGGAAAGATGTCTTGCTTCTTGTAATTTACTCTGTAAGATTGTATTTGGATGTACTGCTTCTGATGATAAATATGGTCGGTAGCCTGATAACATGTAAGAAAGGCAGATCCCTGAGGGTCCATTTCCTATTTTAAAAAAAGAGAAGGTGGAGAGGGTATGCCACACACCACACGCCTCTTCCTTGGCTTTCCCCCGCCTTAACACGTGGCTTCTTCCTCACCAATTCTGCCTTCTCTAAACTCTGAAAGCCAAGGAGTCACAACACTCTGACTTTCGCCTTCACTCCTGGTTTTTGTGGGGAGTCTCATCTACTCAAAGCTTCAACTCTCTATGCTACCGATTCCCAAAATTAGGTCTCTAGGCTGACCCCTTCCCCAAAAATACACTTCACATTTCCATATGCTGCTTCTTTACACCACCTGACAGGCCTACTAACAACTTAATCAAAATGCATTCAAAGCAAATCCATGCATCCCTTCATTTAGCTGCCCTCTCCTCCTCCTCCACATATGACACGCGCAAAATCCTAAGCCACTCAGCTTCTGGTTCTACACCCATTTGTCATCTATATCCATTCGGTTGTCTTTGCTTTTCTCCCGTACTTTGAATCAGAAGGCAAGTCTCCCCCTGCTTCTCCTCCTCAAGTTCACCTGCTCCAAAACCATTCCACACTCAGATGATTTTGGTAACACATGGTCTTTAGCATGTTGCTTCCTCCATTTTAAAGGCCTTAGCTGCTTGTTGCTGACTACCCAGTATTCTGTACGTTCTAGTCTCAACCATCCTTCTAGTCCCATCACCTAATGCTGCCTTCCATATTTGTTTATATGCTTTAACTGGAACCAAACTGCATTTGTCATTGAAATATTTCCATTTCCATAGTTCCCTTAGTCTGGGTTTGCTACCTCTCTATTATCTACATCCATCAAAAACTGAATCCCACTGGGACAGCTGCTAGCCATAGGGGAAAAAAACAAACCTATTCTTCACCTAATATTTTGTCCCAAATAAGCTCAAAGATGTAAATATGAAAAGTAAAATCATAAGAATATTAGTAAAGTGGGTGATACTTCTATTTATAATGCTGGAGTGGGAAGCCTTTAAGCATGACATAGAACTCAAAAGACAGAGTAAAGTAAAGCCTTTGTCCTCATACAAATGACTAACAACTGACAAGTAGTGGGAATGAAGACCTGAGGAAAAGAGCTTATTTCCTTGAATCAAAAAGAGATGAAACTGAAGAAGAGAAGTCATGATAACATCAACAGCTATAGAAAAAGCATCTGACAAAACCCAACACCTATTCATGATAAAAAAACTCACAGCAAACTATAGAGAGGGGGATTTCCTCCACTTGAAAAGGAATATCTACAAAAAGCCTACAGCTAACGCCATACTCAGTGGTGAGAAATTACGTGCTTTCCCTCTAAGATCAACAACAGGACAAAGATGTCTCTCTATACCATTCCTACTCAACGCACATCTTGATGGAAGTCCTAGATAATGCTGTAAAGACAAGAAAAGGAAACTCTGTGGCCCAAGTCAAGTACCCGCTGAGTCCCACAGAATAGCTGCTCTGTGCCTTGGGGATCAGGAGGAAAGAAAAAAGTTCCCTGTGTTCTGGAAGCTTTCAGGACGCTCCTGATAAGGAAAAGGCCTGTGACATGCCCAGCAAGAACACAAGAGAGTGAAATGGAACAATTCCTAAACCTGGGTCACATCTCCTTCCTTGAGTAGCTTGTTAAAATACAGATGGCCAGCCCAGCTGGCATGGCTCATGGTTGAGTGTTGACCTAGGAACCAGGAGGTCACAGTTAATTCCCAGTCAGGGCACATACTGGGGTTGTGGGCTCAAGCCCCAGTGTGGGGCATGCGGGAGGCAGCCAATCAATGATTCTCTCTCATCATTGATGTTTCTATCTCTCTCTCCCTCTCCATTCCTCTCTGAAATCAATAAAAATACAGATGGCCAAGCCGTGACCCCAGTGGTCCAGCTTCAGTGAGCTGGGGTGAGAGCCCAGACATCTGTGTGGTTAACCAGCTAAGCGTGGGGGAGTGGGGGGGGAGGACAAGAAAAGGAAATAAAGGTATACAGATTGGGAAGGAAGAAATAAAACTCTCTTTGTTCACAACGCCATGATTATCTATATAGAAAATCCCAAAGAACTGAAAAAACCTCCTGGAACTAACAGGCAATTACAGCAAGGTTGCAAGATACAGAAAGAAGGCAGCTACTTTCCTATATATCAGCAATGACAAGCAGAATTTGAAATGCAATGCACAACACTGCTTATATTTGCACAGAAAAGAAAAATACTTGGATATAAGTATTCACATAGAATAACACATTTAAGATCTATGTGAGCAAAACCACAGAACTGATGAAATTAAAGCATATCTAAACAGATGGAAAGATAGTACATGCTTGTAAATAGTAAGACTAATCTTGTTAAGATGTCAGTTCTTCCCAACTTGAACTACAGATTTAATGAATCCAAATCAAAATCCCCAGCAAGTTACTCTGTGGATATGGCAAACTGACTCTAACGTTGAAGTGGAAATGTGGAAAATCCAGAAGAGCCAGCACAATATTGAACAAAGTAAAGACTGAAACCACCCAACTTCAAGTCTTACTGTAAAATTTGTCGGCAACACAGTGTGGAAAAAAATAAAAGGATGAAATCAATGGAACACAATAGAGAACCCAGAGATCTTCACAAGGATAGTCAACTGATTTTTGACAAGAAAGCAAAGGCAATCCAATGGTGGTAAGTCTTTTCAATAAGTGGTACAAGAACAGGTGTACATCCACACATCAAGATATAAATCTGGATATTAACCTTACTAGAGGCCCAGTGCAGGAAATTCGTGCACAGGTAGGGTCCCTAGGCCTGGCTGGCGATCAGAGCCAATTGGGGCCTTCCGGCTGCTGGCCAGGTCCTCCCTTCCCCGGCTGCTGGCAGGGGCCTCAATGCTCTCAAAACAGATCACAGATGTAAATATAAGATGCAAAATAATAAAGCTTCTAGAAGATAACATAGGAGAAAATTTAGATGACCTTTGGTTTTGGTGATGAATTTTAATGAATTTTTAAAAACTAAGCATAGTCTTACCAGGTGATCCAGCAATTACATTCCTTGTTTTTTACCCAAATGAGTTGAAAACTTAATGGCCATGCAAAAATCTGTATGTTTATAGCAGCTTTACTCATAATTGTCAAAAATTGGAAGCAATCAAGATGTCATTCAATTAGTGAATGGATAAGCAAATTGTGAAACATCCATACAACAGAAAACCCATACATACATTAAGGGAATTCGCTCTTTACTAGTATCTAGGCTCAGGTTGGTGGTGCTACTGCCAAGAGTAATGCATTAGGTTAAGCTACACTCATTGGCTAGCTGAGGCCAAACAGAAATAGATTGTTTGGGGGGAGTGAGGTGGGCAGGTACGGAGGAAGGTGGCTTTTCCTGACTCTCCTGTAGCCAAGCTAGAACAAGAAGCCAAGGTTCCTTGACTCCCAAGATATCAAGGATGGAAAGCAGGGTGGATGTAAGTTGGAAAATGGTGCACAAGGTAAGATGCTCAAACCTCAGAGGGAAGGTAAGGGAAAGGTGGGGGTAAGGGAGGGAGATCAACCAAGAGACTTGTATGCATGCGTATAAGCATAACCAATGGATGCAGACAACAGAGGGTGAGGGTGAGGGCAGGATTGCGGGGGTGGGGAGGCAATGGGGGGATAACCACACATTTGTAATACCTTAATCAATAAAAAGTAACAAAAACAAATTAAAAAAAAATGCTGGATGAGAAACAGTGCAGAAATGCCTTTATCCTCTGCCCTAGAGGGGAATCTGTATAGAACTATAGTGCTCTCTTCCTTCCTTCCTCCCCCGAGTCTCCCACATGCTGGACAAAGGAGAGGGCTTTTCTCCCTTTCCCACTGACTTTGAAACAAAACATAGGTTGTCTTCATTACCAGGACACTGTCATAAAATCACCACAACTGATACTATCTAATATAATAATAGAGGAATATGCAAATTAGCCAGGCCACCGTAAGAGCATGACCAATCTACAAGTGGCGGAGAACTACAGGAGGGCGGGGCAGGGGCGGAGAGCTACCAGCTGTAGTGGGCGGGGTGGCCAGCTGAGGCAGGCAGCAGCGAGCTACTCGCACACGGATTCGTACTAGTTTTAAAATAATAGAGTAATATCAATCCTTAATGAATGGATGCTGTGCTGCATTCTAACACAGGACCTCAATCAGGTAAACCATTTACTCTCTCCAAAGATTTGGTTATTGGTTGTTTTAAGATATTAAACCTAATAATACTTTTCAATAAAATCCTAAGAACTTGTAACTATGTAACTGTAAATGTATAAAAGTAGTAAGAATCATAACTAATTTTAAGAGATATAGTGCAATAACTTACCTATTACTACCACAGGCAAAGTCACTGATGAATCCTCAAGAAAAGAAGTTTCTTCAACTAAGGGCATCGCTTTCACTTTTCGCCCCAAATTATCACCAAAATACTGAACTAAGGAATTATAAATCTCTCCTTCGGTTTCAGTGTCACCATAGTTTCTTTTTAAAAACAAACATGGAACAAAAACAAGAGATATATAATTAATATAGCCTTTACAAAAATCTCTCTTTATTCAGATTTTACTTAGGCACCAAAAAAAAATTCCAGTTCCATAAAAGGAGAAAATTCTTCTGATTAATGCTTTCAAATCAGTAGCTTTAGCTACATGTCAACCTACACCAATCTGAATGTCAGAAATCCTCAATAGCTGCCAATGTCTCTTTATAGGCCAGTCCTACATAAGACAAGTCCCAAATAAGAAGGTGTCTTTAAGATGACCGACACAGGTTATAAGGAGATTTTTAATTTTCTGAGATCCTGTAGGAGTGGGTAGTTTCTTTTTTTACTTTTCTTTCATTAATAGAAAGTACATTAGAGGCAGTATATTTAAAACAAAAGTCACAACTAATATTTTAAGGAAAAGTTACTGTACATTGTGCATTTTGATTAAAAAAAATAGGTTTATACATTTTTTTCTCAAAGACATACTGAAATATGGAAAGATCCTAATGCTGATTTCCAATCTACCTTCTTTCCCAATTGCTTTCCTAGAAACTATTTTTAGCATTCTGACATACTCATGCAATAAATGGACTAATGTTAAACATCGTTTCATGTGCTTATTAGCCATGTATACATCTTCTTTGGAGAAAGTCAAATTCTTTGCCCACTTTCAAATTGGGTTCTCTTTTTATTGTTGAGCTTTAAAAATCCTTTATATAAGTCCCTTTTCAGATATATGATTTACAGATATTTTCTTCCATTCTGTGCGTTGCCTATTCACTTCATGTTGTCTTTTTAATCACAAAAGTTTTACATTTTGATCAAGTCCAATTTATTTTTTCTTTTGTTGCTATGCATTTGGTGTCATATTTAAGAAACCAATACTTAATCCAAAGTCACAAAAATTTACTCCAATGCTTTCTTCTACAAGTTTTATAATTCTAGTTCTTACATTTAGGTTTTTCATTCATTTTGAGTTAGTTTCTGGATATGGTGTGAGGTAGGAGTCCAACTTCATTATTTTGCTTGTGGATATTTGTCCTAGCACCATTTGTAGAAGACTATTCTCCTTTGACTCACGATCCATGGAAAACCAAGTGGCCATAAGCATAAGGATTTATTTCTGGACTCTCAATTTTTGGCTGAGTTCTGTGCAATTCCATATACTTTTCTGGGGGGAAAAAGGCAGCTAGAATTTTGATAGGATTGCACTGACTTTGTAGATCAATTGAGAAATACAGCCATCCTAAGCACAGAGTGGGGCAAAAATAGGTTTACAATTGTTTATATGGTAAATAACATAGTAAATAATGCAAGAATAAACTCTGAGTACTCACAACTGTATGCCTATTCTTGCCCCACCCGACAGGAAGGTTCTCGATCCCCACACGGGATTCCTCTTCGCTCAGCGGCCTGCCTGGGGTCCTCGGGATGTTCTGTGCTTTTACATTTCCTCTTGGTAAAGCGCCTCCCGCTCACTCCTGCGGGTGCTGTAGGATGGAAGCCACCGGGGCTGCCGGGAGGGCCTGGCCGTCAGGCAGGAGCGGCCGCACCTGCGACCGCAGCACCGGCTGCGCCGGGACGGCTGCTCAGAGCCGGGAGTCCTCCTGAGCCTGCGGGCCGAGCAGCGCCCTGGCCGTGCACGGCTGCACCGCGACGGCTGGGGGGCAGTCACGGGGATGGCTGTGGTTCTTGCTTTCATTCATCACTGGGTATTAGATTTCGGTTTTTAAAACTCGGCGGAAATCCTGTGGTAGCCTTCTTCATCCGAGTTCCGGCACCTCCATTGCACCGTCCAACTGTAGGACTCCGGACCGTTTTCCGTGGCCATCCCGGGGCTTCGGTCCGTGCAGGCGCGGCGCCGGCCCGAGGGACAGCCGGGGAGACCCGGACCCCGCTCGCTCCGCGTCGGCCGCCCTGTCCCCCGAGTCCCGGCCTTCAGGACCCACGGCCTCGCGAGCGTCCGGGCCGCGGAGCCAGATCGCACCCCGAAAACTTAGTTCCTGCCGCCCTCGCCCAGGAACTGAGTTTAATCGGTGTTTTATGAGGAAATAAAACCATCCTGAGGGGGCGGGTCGCCACCCTCCCCTGAAACTTCGCAGCTGAGCGGCGCCGGCAGCCGGCCCGCGGGTTGCGCGCGTGACCGTGGCCCGGGCTGGGGGCTGCGGGCAGAGGGAGGCCGCGGGGAGGCGCCGCCCGCCCGCCCGCCCGCTCCCCGCCCGCCCCCACCCGCGTCCTCCCGCTCCCCCCGCGGGAGTCACCTGAAATGCCCGGCCAGGGAGCAGCGGCAACACCACACGGGCATGGAGCGCGGGCCCCGCCGCCGCCGCCTCCCCGGCGGGGCCGCCCGGCGGGGTCGGGGGTTGAGTGTCGGGGGTCGCGGTGCCCGGAAGCCACGGCGGAGCGGCCGGCAAGGCTGGGCGCCGGGGGTCGGACGCAGCTTCCGCTCCCGCGCGGACCCGACGCCGAGGGGACGCTCCCGACGCCGCGGAGGGCGGGGCGGCGCCTCCTCGCAGGTGCGGGGCCCGCTATTGGCGCGGCCGGGCAGGGGGCGGAGCCTTGGGTGCTGAGGGGAGACAGGCCCCGCCCCCGCCCTCGCCTCCCCGCCCCGCCCCTGGGCGCCGCCTTCCTGCCGAGCGACCGGGACGCAGGGGCCGTGGGCCCCGCCCGCCGCTGCTCCGACCCGGCGACCCGGGAGGCTGGGGGCGGGGCCGCGGGGTGACGGGCGGCGCGGGCCGCGAGCACCCTTTGGTGTGGAGGGGCCCCGGGTGTGCAAGGGCGCAGGCCGGGATGACGCGATCCCAGGTGCTCGCAAGGGCTCCTTCCCCCCACCCCGCGGGCGCCTCGCCCTCAGAGTGCGAACGCGAAGGGTGCCCTCCGTCGCCCCTCCAGGGCCCCGCCTCGCCGCCCGACGGGAGAGACGTGCGCAGCCCACGGTCCGCCCTGCGCCGCCGGGAGGGCCGCCTTCGGTGCGAGCGCGGATGCGGGCGGACAGGTGAGGCCCGCGCGCCGGTCCGAGGCCGGTGTGCACGGTGGGTGAGCCCGCGGGGCCGCCTGCAGGGAGCCGGCGGGGGCTGGCGAGGCTGCGTGACGTCAAGACCAGCCCACCTGGGAGACAGCGCGGGAGCGGGGACCCCTGAAAGCACGCGTCGCCCCGCAGGGGGCGCAGCCGGTGGCTGGCTGGTTGGTGGGAGCATCCAAAGGTGGCGGGTTCGCCCTGGCCCATGTGGGTGGGTGGTTGGAGCGGCCTCCCAGCACCGAAGGTCCCGGGCTCCATTCCTGGTCAAGGGCACGAACGTGGGTTGCAGATTAGCTCCTTGCCCAGGTTGTGGTGCCTTTGGGAGGCAGCGGGTGATGTTCCTCCCTCCCTCCCTTCCACTCTCTGAAAAGCAGTGGAAAAAATACCCTCAGGTGAGAATTTAAGAGTTGTGGTTCCGGCTGGTGTGGCCCAGTGGTTGAGTGTTGACCTATGAACCTGCAGGTCGCCCTTTGATTCCTGGTCAGGGCACATGCCTGGGTTGCAGGCTTGATCCCCAGTAGGGGGCGTGCAGGAGGCAGCCGATCAGTGTTTCTCTCCTATTGTTTCTATATCCCTCTCCCTTCCTCTCTAAAAGGTAACTAAAGGTGCATTTTTTTAAAATATAAATTAAAAAAAAAAAAAGGTTGCTGGTTTCACCCCAGGTTGAGCTCCTAGGAGAGGCAGCAGGTGGATGTTTCTCTCTCAAATCAATCAAAACATAGCCTCAGGTGAAGATTGAAGAATAAATAAATATCCCTGGCTGCTGTGACTCCTGTGCACAGAAAGGTTGCCAGTTTGAGTCCCGGTGGGGGCACACGGAGCACATGTGGAAAGCCGTGATGTTCTGCTCTCACATCGATGTTTTTGTCTCTGCCCTTCTCCCTTCCTCTCCCTCTAATTTAATTAATTAAAATTAGAAAAGCACATGTGCTTCTGCAAGGGCTCGAGTCCCCGCCTGCCCTCTGTCAGTGGAGAAGCAGGAACTTCATCCCTAGCAACCTTACCTGTTCACTGTGCTTTTTCTGGTAGCCCACACCTGACTCCACCCCAGCTTCTTCTGTCCTTAGTTGAAGGTGGTATTTAGGGTGATGACTTCCACCATTTGGTGACTTCCTCAGTGTTTCCCAGTCTCTCCATGCATACAGGAGGTGCACATGTTATGAAACGTTGATTAATCTGCTTGCTAATCTGTCTCATGCCAGTTTGTGAGCCCGGCCACAGCACCTTAGGATGGAGGAAGACTTCCTTCCCAACAGTTGCCGCTCATTTCTCTGTCTCCTTGCCTGCAAAGTCCACTTGGAAGCTCTAGGTGCATTAGTACAAGAGAAAAGGAGAAAATAATAGTCAAGAAACAAAAAATATATATATGACAGGGTCAGTCCTACAGAATCAATGGTTTTAACATAGAAAAGAAGTGCCAGAAAGTGAAAATAGAGAAAATGGTTGGATGAAACTTACAAGAAAAAAAATTTCAGAATAACGGGAGACACAAGTATCTATAATAATAAAAGCGTAATATGCTAATTCGACCAGACAGCCGAACGACCTTCCGGACAAAGCCAGGGCTGCAAGGGCTGAGCCCCTTGCATGAATTTCGTGCATCGGGCCTCTAGTCCTATATAATAAAAACCTAATATGCAAATTGACCCAATGGCAGAACGACCGGTTGCTATGACGCTCACTGACCACTAGGGGGCAGAGGCTCAACACAGGAGCTGCCCCCAGCTCGCAGGCCCCAGGCCAGCCTGGCCCTGATCACCGGCCAGGCCTAGGGACCTACCTGTGCACAAATTTCATGCACCAGGCCTCTAGTAATTGTATAAGACCTAAGTTCTGAGCAGGAAAAAGGAAAAAGTCTACTTGTAGGCATATCATGAACTTTAAGGATGGCAAGAATAAAGAGAAGATTCTGAAAGCTTCCAGAGAGCAAATAGAGATCCTCCACCAAGGAATAGGAATCAGCTGGCAATAGGCTTCTCCTCACCAGGACTGGATATTCGGAGATAAGCAATGCCCAGAGAGTTCCACGGGGAAATCAATAACTTGAAATTCTGTACCAAGCAAAACTATTGATAAAATATAGGGCAGAATGAAAAAGGGAATTAAATATAAACTGAGAAAGCTTTGTCTCCCAAATACTCTTTTTTAGGATGTTACTTGAGAAAACAAGGAAGTTATCCAAGAAATTGGAACAGGTTGGCTCTATGAACTGTGGAACTAACTCAGAAAAGCAATGAAGGTAAGTCCCAGGATGCCAACTGTGTCGCAGGCCTGAGAACCACCCATCCAAATTGAAAAGTGACCACAGGGTCATAAGAGAACTTCCTGTAGAAAAAAGAGTCTGTCGATGTGGTCAGATCCCAGAAATGTGGGAAGAACCTATTCTTAGGATGTTATAAAATTCAAGGCAAAAGTAAAGCGGCTGTTGGGAGTCCAGTAAGGGAAGGGGCATAAGACAAAAGTATATAAAAACCGAGTAGTATAGCCATAGACTACAGGTGCCTGGGCCGGGAGCTATGTTCATGTAGATACTGATTTTCACATTTCTAGTACAACTGTGGACAAAGCAAGAATCCAATATTTATGGTTACAAACAGTTTGTAAATGTTGACCATGATAATGTAAACAAGAACAAGAGAGATGATACAATATTTTTTATTTGACAAAGTGAAGAGATACTGCTTGTAGAAAAACATGAAATAGGAGTTTAAGTATATACAGGGTGACAGGGTGGAGCAAAAGGAGATTTATAGTTTGTATGGAAAATGACACAATAATCTATACTAATAAAAGGGTAATATGCAAATTAACCATCACTCTGTGACAAAGATGGCAGCGCCCATAGCCACAAAGATGGCGGCACCGGCTGGAGCCATGGAGCCAGCCAGCCTCTGGGTGGCAGCCACGGAGCTGGTCGGAGTGGGTGGGAGACCTGGCTTCCTTCATTGCCCCAGCGACGAAGGAAGCCAAGCCTCCTGCATGCCCCAGCCAGCTGCCAAGGCACAGAGCAGCCAGGGCAGGATGCTCTGGGCCAGTGGGCAGCGTGCTCAGCCGTGGAGCGACTGGGGCGGGGCGGGATGCCTGGCTTCGTCGCCAAGGTGACAAAGGCAGGCATCCCGCCCCACCCCAGCCGCTCCGGGCCAGGCCTGTGGGCGGGGGAGGCAGGCTGGCAGAGGGCAGCCTGTACTCCCCACATGGCAGCGGCTGTAGCCTGCGGGCCGAGCTGAAGTAGTGCCTGCAGGCCATCAGCGCCAAGGAGTGGCTGCACAAGTCCTGCCTTCTGGCCCAGAAGGTGCACGATCACAGGGACAGCCACTGTGGTGGGCCAGATTGAAATCCTCCTGGCCGCACCATGGGGGTTTGTGGATCTGCGCAGCCGCAGGCCTCTGGTGCATGCATCTTCTCCCCCCTGGTGTGTGAACGTCCCCAGTGTGCTGTCACCCACACGCACCTGCAACAGTCCCGGACCATGGCACGCCCAAGTCCCCCCCCCCCCCCAGCCCCTCCACCACACTTTCAACAACCCCAGCATGCCTGTGTCCCCCACAGGATGTGTGCACATCCCCTCCAGCATGCTCATGTCCTTTGGAGAGTGTCTGGGTGCTGAGGGTGGGCTCCTGTGAGATGACAGTGAGAGGGCGGAGTGGTGATGCCCTGTTCCCGCAGAGGCCAGTGCAGTGAGGAGATCACCTCTGTGGGGCTAATGCACGTGCTGAGGTGGGCGCAGGTGCAGACAGACACACCTGGTGGGCACGGGCAGCCCTCGCTGAGATGCCTTTGGTCAGCGTTCAAGATCAGGAACCCAGAGGAGGCAAGGAGTTCTGTGCTGTCAATGACATGGTGGAATAGTGGGGACGACTGCAGAGGAGGAATGTGCACTTTGGGTGCCAGCACCCATGAGCGAAGGCTGCCCTGACTGAGCCTTGCTTGTGTGGGGCCTAGCGCACTCCTGCCGGGCAGTGGGTGACAGGACGTGCTTTTATGAGTTAATGAGAGAAAACGTTGATTCTCCTGCTGCCCGCGAAGGTGGAAAATGAATTGGGGAGACGTGGGGAGTGAGCGAGGTTCCCTGTCTGGGGGTTCCAAATCCGCCGTTGGTTCCTTTCACTGCTGACTAGAGATATACAGGGTGTCCCCCCAAAATGTATACACACTTTGAATACCTACTAATTCCAATGG